AGAAGTATTATCTGTACTCATTTATTTTAAGATAAAAATAAAAATATATTATTAATAAAGTAATATTAATGTATTATTATAATAACTATAAAAATAACACACTCAATAGATGTCTTTAGATAAGATGTTAAAAATATTACTCTGTTTTTACAAAAAATACACTCAGGTTTGAAGAAAAGTAAATATCTATTAATTTACCTGAACTATAATTTCATTAATGAAAAATATTTTTCCATCAGCTCCCTAACAATAACCATTTTTCATACAATTTTTAAAGTTTTGATAATTATCTTGATTATTTATATATAACGATATTTCATACCCTTTTTGAATAACATTAGGACTAACATAATATTTAATTATCACATCTTTTATATTGTTATTTCTAAAAAACTTATTGAAATATTCTTTAAATTTATTGATTCTTGATTCAAATTTAATATAATCACATTCTAAGTTAGCTACTACTTTATTATCTTCTTCATTATAATAAACATAATCATTTATATCTTCACTTGATTCATCAGAATAATCATGATTTTCTATAACATTTTCATCACTAGGTTCATCATTAGATTCACTAATATTTTCACATAAATTTTCATCTTCATGTTCACTTACATGTTCACTTTCAAGTTCACTAATATTTTCAGAATAATCTATAAATTCATCAACGTCTTCATTCAACACTATATTATATAATAATCGTAAATGACAAAGTTCAATATATTTTTTTAATATATATATTTATTTAAATTAATAGTTATTTATTTTTTGGAATAGTAATATCTGAATTTTAAAATTATTATAAAAATATAGTTTATCTGAATAATGTAGAGTTGGTGGAAAAAAGTCCGGCTCGATAAATAAGTTTGGCTCGTTTGCAAATTATAATATTTGTTGCTATAATATTGAAAACATCTTGTATAATTTCAAAAACATTAATAAAAACTCTCAAAAAACAAAAAAATAAATTATTTCAAAACAATTTTTTGACCTTTCCTTAACTTGGGACTAAGACGTTTTTTGGACACTCTGTTGTAATTGAAATACGCAAGAAACGAAACTGGGTGTTCCTTTCATTTTTTGTTTCATAAGGTTCCATTTTAACCTGAAAATCCCAAAAAGTTTAAAATGGAGAAATTTTGGCATAGTTTTCTTTCAAAAATGATATTATATTGGCCATAAATAAGAGTTTTCCGCCCTAAAAATATTAGTGAATACCTTTTACCAGTTAGCTTTGTGTTTTCAAGATTAAATAAGAAAAAATTGAATAAAAACAGTAAAAAACAGGAAAAAACAAATATTTTACTTGAAAACAATTTTGTTATTCGGCATTTTGTTATAAAATAATGGTAAACGCCTGATTGTAGTAACATACATAAATATTATAAAGTTTTTAAAAAACAAGACTTTAAAAAAGTCTGTCTAGTTTTTGAATAATATAGGAAATTACAATTAAACCATAAATACAAAAAATAATATTTTGTAATAAAATCGTGATATGATGAAGAATTAATAAATTTTGGATGTTGTTGGAAAAACAAAATTAATAACATTCCTTATTTTCACCAATTCGAAATGTAATTGTATTTTAAATATCATTTCCAAAAATCATTTTATCCTACTGTAAAATAATAAACAGTAGGATACAATTTATTAACTCGCTTGATTCGGATATATTTAACGCATAACACGGTTAATTTTCTATATACATAAAAAGATAATATCATCTGAGTATAATTAAGTGAAAAAGTTGCATTGTAACTAATAATTTATATTAATTTCTTTTTCATTTTTTTATTTATTTAATTATTATACAGTAAAACCTCCCCAAAGCGGTTCCTCTGAAAAGCGGGTTCTCTCAAGAGCAGGCATTTTTAGACTGAAATTAAAAAAAGAGTTCTCTATCGAGTGGTATCTGAGGTTTGATTGGCTAAAAATGCCCGCTCTTGAGAGGTTTTACTGTATATATTATTTACAAATAACTAATTTTCAAAAATAAATGATTATTAACTTACACAAACACCTTTTTATAATTAAGAAGTAAAATAAGTAACTTTAAGTTATTAAGATATTCAAATTGAAAATAATTTGTTTAACACGTTCAAAACAGAAACGTAATAATAATAAGTTTTTATTTTTTTTCTTTTACCTAAACCCTTTTTTGCCTTCATACGCAAAACAAATTAGTATTTTAATTATTATAATGTTATTAGTTATAACTAGTAAATCATGAGGAAGCTGTTAAAGAACTGATGCGGTTTTTTATCTACCCTGTATTTTTATTTTTATTTATAAAATTATATTTAAAAAATGTTTCATATAATATAAGTTTATTTTTTAAATGGTAACTTTATAACATGCAAAACACTATTAATTTATTGCATATAAATAATTCAATTATGTTACACTCAACCATTCAGTATGCTCACATAACTTAAAGCAGTCCTTACTCAGAACCATCTCATTGTCCTTGTTTTCGGTTTCATGTACTGGGCTATCCAAAACATTCATAATTAATACAGTTAAAAACATTTTTTTTAAAAATTGGTAATTTTTTAAAATAATTTTATCATCAATATTTTATTGATTATTATTAATAAAAATAAATCAGTATGAACATATTTTTTGAAAATATTTATTAATAAAAAACAAGTTTTAATTGTTGTATCATGTAAATATTATCTAATGTTGTTATATGTACAGAACTTATTATCTTTTCAATTCAAGATTTTACAAATTCAAATGTTTATTTATATTCAAAATTAAATAATGTTGTTTAAATTGATTTAATAT